CTTTGCCATAGTCGCACGACTCCGGCAGTACGACGGGAAATTGCCTAATTTCACTTATGGTGGAAGACGTGAATACAGGATAACGATTTTCTTTTTCTTTCCTGAACTTCAATAAGGTCCTTCAGAATGAAACTCCAGAAAAATTGATCAACATTTGTCGAACTGAACGAGATGGAATAAGCGAGACAGAGTTGGAAGCAGCGCAAATTCACTTTTTAAGTGACGTGATTGTAGCCGTCGCTGTCGCTGTTACTTGAGCTCCCTACTAACTCTTACTACAGCGGGAAACCGTGCATTTTTGGTGTACCACGTGTGAACTTACCTGCAAGAAAGGCTATTTGGTTCAGTGCAACGTCCCGGTGCTACGAAGCAAGGGATCACAAAACGAGAAAATGTGTTCTGGTAAGTTCTCAGCAAAGCCAAGTGTGCAGATTCGTATTCATTTGACCTACAACAAAGATTTCACGTAGAATTACAACTCAGCAGCTACAAAAACAGCAGTAGTAAGACCAACATTTACATCTATATATACTCTACATAATTCAGAAATAATAAACTGGCACTTTTTGGGCCTTCTACGCATGTAAAACTGCAAATTTCGGAATTCGATTATCGACACGGGGGGAAGGATAACTTCTTCCTTGTGCCAGAAAGGAAGGAAACATTGTGATCTACTTGTAAGAGCAAAACTTGTCGCCCTGTAAGTAAATAAAATCCAGTCGACGACATCACTTTATGAAAACCAGTAGCAAGAGTCGATACGTCGCGATCATTGTTGAAGTGACCATTGAAAGGGCAAGAGCTTATCCTTTTACGTATCAAAGACAAAAGAAACCAAAAATACACAAAGTATTGTAATATTTTCGTAACATCGTAAACTCACCCATCGATTACGTCATCAATGGTGAAGGTTTTGACGGGGGTCTTGGAACTAGTGGCCATGTTTGGCACGCTCGGTGTACTGCCTCGCTTTGGTGATGTCTTGGCGCTCTTACCAGCGGGAACAGCTTTACCGCCCTTCTTTTTCTGTTTAAAGCATTGAAACGTGATCTAATCAGAAACTAAGAAATGGGTAATTTTAATAACAGAGGTAAGTCTTCGTTACCCGACACTAAGAACGGAGAACTTCAGGGCGTGACTTGAGGACACAGATCATGGAAGAAGGAAAAACAACACCACGAGACCACTACTCAAAAACTCTAAAGATCGTTCTTAGAAAAAGATATAGATAAAGCCGGCTATAGGTACAAGGTCATCACTGAATTGCAATTGCACAGTCACTTTGACTAAAGTCAGATCAATTTTCTAAGCAGCTCCATTCAATTCGTCTTGGGGGAGCTATGCATTTCTGCTATATGCGACCGCTGAAAAAGAAAAGGCATGACTGCAGACTCACCTGCCCAGCGGGTTGTTCCTGTGGTTTGTCTTGGGGGGAGGCCTGCTCTAGTCTCTTTCTCTCAGCCTCAGCTTCCCGCTCCATCATGCGTACGCCCTCCAACCGCACCATATTTGGATCCATTCGAGGGGTGAAAGTCACGTGAACCAAACACCGCTGAAACAAAGTACCGAGTTAATCCGCTGACATATAGTTAACGTACACCTTTGGAAATTCGAGATTATCTTCGGTGTTTTAGGATTTTTTCGCGCGAAAATTACGAGCATCTTACCTCTCCAGGATTGACAGTGCCAACAGCTGGAGACACGGTCAGCGGTGCACCGGCAGGGACCACAAATTCAAACGACGTTGGGCCCACCTCAACAATGGGCCCTGAGCCAATTCTTGGCACAGGATGAGTGAATTCATTGGCGCTGGTGTGTGAATTGATGACTTCAATATGAGCAGAGCACGTGTCACTAACAGCCGTGGCTTTCATTTTTATCACAGAGTGCGACAGCTCCAGCGGGGGAAGAACGCCAACGGCTCGACAATGAATCTTGAACTCACGACCGATTCCCGTTTTACAGGTTAGGTCAAACTCGTATTCCTGGATAAACAACAAACAAAGACAACAGCAACAAAACAGGTTAGATCAAACTCGTATTCCTGAAAAAACAACAACAACACAGGTTAGGAAAAACTCGTATCCTTGAGTAAATAACTAAAATAAAACAGATTAGGTCAAGTTCGTATTCTTGAGTTAACAACTACAACAACACAGGGTGGGGCAAACTCGTATCCTTGAATAAACAACAACAACACAGGTTAGGGCAAACTCGTATTCTCGAGTAAATAACTAAAATAAAACAGGTTAGTGCAAACTCGTATTCCGGAGTAAGCAAAAACACAGGTCTGGGTAAACTTTAAAATGCACCCTTATTTAAATAACTATAAACCTGAGGACCAGCTGGAAGAAACAGCTACAGTGCTCACCTTGGCTTTTTTAGCATTGAACATGATATCCAGATCAAAACTCTCCAGTGGTAACAATGTACCAAATCCATCATTAGGCTGAACATCAACCGTCTACAACAAGTACGGAATAGGATTAGACATCTACTCTAGTGCCATTCAAACCTCTTTAATTCACCACTTTGATAAAGACGATAATACACCTTGGTTACAACCCCTCCCCCCCCAAATTTTGCAAAACCAATGTCTTTGAATTGTCTTGGGACGACTGCAATAGCCAGGAGAAATTGGAAACAATGGTTATGCAAAATTTGTAGAGGTTAAGTAAAGTGGTCTATGTGAAAATGGTGAATTTGCGCGAGACTGGGCCGGTGCTGTGTCTAGTTGCATTATGGGATTGTTTAGAGGATGCTATCGCTTATTTCATTGGCTATAACGAGGTTACGGAGGAACTGGGTCAAAATTCGTCTTTCAAACAGTCCCACATTGCAGTCGGACACAACACAGACCCAGTCTCACTCACCAAGTAGCGAGAGCCATACGTTTGCTTTACAGGAGTGACCGTCATATTATAGAAGAATTATACAGGGTTCGTACATATTTTTGGATTCAAAGTTCAAGACTTTTGCCCGACTTTTTTCCAAAACAATAATTTCTTTTTCCAGCCTCAAGGTTATCAAATCTAGTGATCAATACATTCCGGCGTTTTTCTAAAAATCGCAGGAACAAAGCCTTTTTCATGATGTGCTGCTAACTACGGACGAGATTTAATAAGATTTGACTAAAACGAAACGAATTTCACTTATAACTAAAGGACTCGTTGTAGCTTTAAAAAAAAAATTACCATTTTACAAGACTTAATCTCCATTTTCTGTTCATTTTTAAGGTCGTGAAAATTGCTAGGCAAATTTTAGACTTTTCAAGAATTCAAGACTCCACGAACCCTGATTATAGGTTTGGCATCTTTAAGACCGACAGAACTGTCCGTAATAGGGAGGTTTAACTGTACCTCACGGTTCACATGCAGTAAATTTTATCTTAAAAATGTTCATTCATTCAGTCATTGAAAGAACCCTAATCCGACTGTAATTTGTGATGAACTTTCTGAACTCTTCAGCTTTGGATTCTGGATTCCACGCTGTGGATTCAGGATTACTTGTCAGTGGAATTTAGATTCCGGATTCCATGAGCTGAATTCTTGATTCCAAAACCCTAGATTCCGGAATTCCACAAGAAAAGAATTTCCCGGATTCCGGAATGGGGATTACTCTACATGGGACGAAACAATCTCATTCTTGGAAAGTGATTTCACTTACATCGGGTACTCCACAGAAGCCAAAAGGTTGTGGAAGTACCGACTTGTTCGTTATGGTGACCGTTCGACGCACAGATTCATAAACTGTACAGAAACCAAAATCAATATCTTGCATGTTGAATTCTATGTCAGATGACGTCACTACAGCTCTGACTTTAAAGGGAACTGGGCGAGTCTGCAAAGAAAACCATCCATACAAAAACGTTAAAAAAAACTTTGTCAACGATAAACGTGTATTGCAGAAAGTTCCTCGTAAAACATGTTTTTTTCCCGCCACTCTCACACCCACAGTTTGAATTTAGCTTGTCCCCGAAGCGTTAAGACATGGAAAAAATTGTAATCATGACTTCTACATGAGATCTATAAGAATACATCTGGGCTATAACATTGGAACAATAAAAGGCATCTGAGAGACTTCGTGCAAATAATAAAAAGCTAGCTCACTGGACAATTCGAAACGAGAGTCGCAAATTAACGTCAACAATCTTAACAAAGACGTGGACCGTTTATTCAAAACAACAACAACAACAACAACCACAAAATACCGCCTTCTGAATCATTTTCAGTGCAGCCACAAATGGAGAGATATAAGATACCTGATCTGCTACTCTTATTACCATTGGCGCCTCCAATAACCTGGTTTCACGGTCGAAATATGTAGGGCAGTCATCTGGTAAGGTTTGCCTACAATCAATTGAGATAGGTAAAAGTTTAATGACACTGGAAACAGCAACACAATTGACGAGGTATCTCAAGCAAATTCCTGAGAAAGACCCAAATTTCATTTTGTGAAATACTGGGTAACCAATAGCACCATTCAAAAGTACCGCTAAGGAGGATATATTTGAATGGTCAAACCATAGGATTTTGTTCAAAAACTCAAAAAGTTATAACTACCTGTAGATTTTAAAATTTCTTTCTTAATGATTCTGGGGGTGACAGCGACAAAACATTTGTCCAAACAAGAAAAGAAAAAGGGAAGAAATGAAGTATTTTTTTACTTTACACCATTTTTATTCAACGATGTTAGCGCTTTTAGTGGGTAGTTTGATGGCAATTCGTGGTACTTGCATTATTACACGTCTTCATTGGCTGAATACTTACGCCATTTTTACATTTAGCCAATCAGAAGTCAAATCGAAACCAATCGCGACGTGCTCGCACTCGTTTACCCGCGCTTTTCACCGGTTAACGATTTCATTGGCTGAATACTTACGCCATTTTTACATTTAGCCAATCAGAAGTCAAATCGAAACCAATCGCGACGTGCTCGCACTCGTTTACCCGCGCTTTTCACCGGTTGCATGCATAAGCTTTGAGATCTCACTGGTTTATCGGCTTTTCCATAACTTATGAGATTGGTCAGAATAATTACTAGTTCTAGTCTTTCGACACATGTTACAACAATCGACACGCATACATTAAAAACCATTATATCCCTCAATTTTACTCACAGAAAAACAGTTTTCACCTGGGAAGAAACTTGAGCTGAGCAGAAAACTGTGACTCAGCCTGGATGTAGGCTGTTTTCGGGAGAAGCTCCAGATGACTTCTGAGTTCTTTACAAACTTCAAACTTCAGCCTAAGAGCTGACGTGGCTCTGTGTAGATACATAAAACCGTTAATTTGTAAAGCTGACTGCCTTGTTTCATTAAATAAACGACAGCTGAAATTACCTGTTGTTGACGAGAATTGCATCTTGATAGAGTCTGTCATACATACACATCTTCAAATCCACAACCTGTTAACCAAGCAAAGTGTCTGTTAAGCCTTCTCATTTCAATAATCGTAAAAAAAATTCAAGTTAAATCCCAAATCTCATGTCGTAAAACGCTAAAAACAACTAGCAGTGAGTCGCGTCTTAAATAGGATGCGAACTTCCTGTATAAATGGCACAAAAAATGTCTTCGTCTCTTATATAAGACGCGACTAAGCTAAGACGCGACTGAAATGCTCGTATAACTGGTACAGTTTGCGTGTTATGGAATGTACCGTTTTGAAAAATTTAAAAACCAAATTCCTTTAAATCTCTTGCTGATTAAAGGACACATCACAAAGGCAAAAGTGTCAAGTTTTGCTCTGGTACAGAACATATCAAACTGTTTATGTCGGGAAAACAATAAGAAGACGATATAAAGACTGAATGAGGTACCTCTCGTTGCACCCAGACAGGAACATCAATCCCTGTACCTCTAGCACGGATCATTATCTGTCGGAGAACCAGAAAAAAATTAACTCAGTCAGTGAGGTTTGTCCTCAAATTCAAGTGTTGGGCATTCTGAGATCCTTGGTAAACTGCTGCTGGGTTAGAAAATTGGTTAGATTCAGAGCAAACACATGACAAAAACATCGATCCACTTTAAACAGTAATCATTCCTCGGCTACTGAGAAGAATCTCTATCACAGAAGCATGTGAGTGTGCTGGTTTTTTACAGGTCTATGAGATCGATAGAGCGATTTTCGTATGACCTTGAAAAATAGTTTCGGTAAGTGTTATTTGATTTATCAGCCAATGGATGAAAAGATCAAAACATGGACTCTTCGTTGGGCCAACTTTTTCAAGTTTCAATACTACGCCTACAAAAATCACCGAAAAAAAACTATTAGGATTATTTTTCCGTGACGAAATTTGTTTAATATCTTCTTTTTCACTCTACAAGAGCATTTAGTGTACGATCAAACGCACTAATTACTAAGTAATGAGTTTAGCAAAGAATTGACCTCAAACAGTAATATCTTTGTAACATACATGTAGCCCGCCCTTAAAGCAAGGTTTTTTGAAGACTGCTCCATGACTTGTCTTCGTGTTTTCTACTTACGGGTGGCGACAGAGGGTCAGAAAAGGAAATCTCAAATTCTGCGACTGCATTTCCTGACTTGAGAGGGTTAAATATCACCTCCAGCTGGACTATTGAAAATGGTGTAATTTCACCAGAGGTAAGCTGATGATAAAACATAAAGGAAATAATAAAGTAAATAAAAAATCGTCTTTAATAAAGACATTATCAATAAGTGATGGGACAAAGAACAGTTGAGCCCAAACTCATGGCATCCCATTCACCAGTTTGTTACTATAAACAACCTGATTTACGCAGAGATTCATAGCTAGATGGGCCATTTACCAGGTTCATGGTTATCCGGTCATGTAGCAGCTGCTCGGAAGATAAGTCATCAATGGTGCCTAACTCTGACCCCAAACAATACTAAAACAATTGAAAGAATGACATGTCATTGTTTTCTGCGACCAGTTAGGACAGACCTTACGAGCAGCTCCTACACTACTCTAATTATCTAGCGCGCGTTCCGCACACTGCTAGGTTTAGTATTGAAAGCTGGACACTCGACAGTGAAATTCTGTACGTTAACAGGTCTACAAATAATTTTTCTTTTTAGAAAAGACGTATGTCCGAACGGGTCACTATTCAAGTCGGAAAAACCAGAAACGTCGGATATACATTATCATGACTTTTAATTTATCAACTACCATCTATTAACCAAGAATGGTGCAGCGGTTAGCCGAAGTCATAGTTGTTACTGACCTTTCCAACCCTTAGGCCTTCTAATATGGACACTTCGGTTGGAACTGGTGATGAGGCAGATACAGCAGGAACAAGCTCTACTGAAATAAAATCAAACCATACTTTGATACAAAACGCAAACAGAGGTTGGATTCATTATCATGAATGTCAACGAAAACTCAATAACTGTAAAATACTCCTTCGGTTTAGAAATAAGCGTACCATTTCACACTGCTGGCAAAAACAGCGTGGAATATTACCAAGAAAAAATATCGGAAACGGACAGGAGAAGTCCTTTCGTCACGTTGCCATGGTAGCAAAATTTCTGGATGACAACAAACCAAAAATGTCACTTGAAAAGTGAATTCGCACTGTTTCAAACTTCCTCGATCTTATTCAATTTCATTTAATTTGTCAAAATGTTTGCGAAATTTTCTGGCTTGAATCCGAAAGGACCGTATCTAAGTTAGAAATAGCAAAAGAAATTTTTTGCCTTGTATACTCTATAAAGCGGGCGCGTTAAATTAGGAAGTTTCATGTCGCGATATGGCAACGACGGCTAAGAAATGTACAAAAAAGCGTGCAAAAAAGCACGTGCCAAGTTGTTGTTTTTGCTAATATAAACCTACTACTTTTTTGCCGTTCTCGTTGCCGTCAACGTCGTCGTTGCTTAAGTTCCTCGTCGTTGTGATCCAGAAATTTTGCTGGCATGGTAACGTGACGTCACTCTTCTCCTCTCTATTGTTGTCTACAAACCTTCTTGTTCGTCCCCAGTTCCCTCTGGTGCTGCTGAAGCATCACCCTCAGTAGTGCCCATTCCTTCCTCAAACTTAACTGCACTCCCGGTTTGGGGATCTAAGCCCTTCTCTAGACTTTCACCCTCTGTGGAGTGGAGAATGAACAAATTTAGAAAAACACTTGAACAAATGCCGAAGATCAATCTATCAGTGTACTAAAAATTGATAACATTTAGACTACGCTAATTTTATGTCAGAGGGCAACACCAAAACTTGACCAACCCCTTGTAAATGTTCATTTTGTTTTGACTACAGAATGAATCAAACCTTCCGATATGTCAGTGGGTGAGTGAATTTGTGAGATACTATTTGGATGTTTTTTTCTTTGACTGGGCACTGAAAAGGTGGAAAAATGCAAAGTTTGTGTCAATTCTGTGTTTTCCCTCACGTGGCCAGCATCTATGCAAATTTATTGGAACAAAAGAAAGCGTTTTATACATAAGAAAAGAGTTCAACTCCCACAGGACTGGTTTGGGACACAAACATGGCCGCCGTTTCATTGTTTTGGGACACAAATATGGCCGCCGTGACGTCATGTGAAAACACACAATATATTCACGAAAGAAGGAGCCAAAAACAGACTTTTTGTAGAACCTTCTTGTTCCACATGTCCAGTTGCTTCTGTCGTACCGCCACCTTGCGCTTCTTTAACATCCTCCGCCGCCATTCCCTCCACATTCTGCAGTTCACCATTTGTTTGGTTGTACTCTGGCTGTCCACCATCAGTAACAGTCTGAGAGAAAAGTTACAAGCAAAGCATTAGTATTTGTATAAACAAACTAAACTTGTCTTCAAACCATTTACAATTACTTTAGTTTAATCGAGACCTTTAGATTTTAAGACGAGCACGACAACGAGTACGAGATTTTTCAGTACTAAGAAGCGGTTGTGCGAGAACCAACGTCATTTTAGCGGGAAAACGTGGTAGTGGTCGTCACTCTACTACGAGTCTTAGCGAGAATGTCGAAGTGGCGGAAAAAAAGTTCAAATGTTAGAAGTTTGATCATTTTGCGATCGGGAGAGGGCGTAACCTCCTTCACTAAAGACAAAAGTGCTCACTTTTCAAGTGAAAAATGGTAAAATGAAACTTTCCGGGGAGTCTATATTTTGAGAATACGCGTACTCGTAGTCGTAATCTCGTAGTCGTAGTCGTAGTCGTCCTCGAATCTAAAGCTCTCTATTATGTAGAATCCGCGAACGGACAAGGTGAAGTGAATCCTCCATTCTGATTGGCTACCCGAGCGGACGAGATGGGACCACCTTGCCCGCTCGGGATTTCCTGAGTTGGTCCCGCAAGGAAAAAGTTACTTTTTGCCATATAATAAATCCTTTATTGACCAAGCTTGTTCGGTCAAGAGGGCTGTATATTGGCCTCATTCCTTTTTGTGCTTACAAAATTCTCAAAGCTGATTGGCTATCAACTGTCCTGATTTCAGCACTTATTGACTTCGACTTCACCTCCGTTCATAATTACGCAAAAAGAACTTGGCCAATATCCAGCCATATTGGCCAAACATTGGTCAATAACGCACAACACAATTATTACCATTCCACCAATGGAACTTAGTTCCGAAGTTGAAGCTGACCTTGCCAAACCTACAAAAACAACGGGAAAGTCACATTATGCCAACGACTTCTTTCCTTTAGAATTACACTTGCTTTCATCCACTTACACAGAGCTTATATTTGAATACTTAACTGTAACACAGCAAAAATGGTTTTATTTAATTCCCAACTTTCCGCCTCAAGTGGTTTTCAAGAAATAAGATGCCGTTAGTGTATCCTCGAACACAGCAAAATTTTACAAGTGGTCATACCAAAAATACTATCCCAAACATCCTGTAGCTGAAGAATACATCGCAGTTTTATACGAACATTCTGTCACGCAATAAAGTACAATTCGTCACACTACAAGTCACACCATACATCTTTCTAAAACTTCAGAGAATACCTGTTATTTTTTTAAAAATAAACTCTGTTCCCAATGCTCCGTTGTTCGTAACGTTGATGATTCGCCTTCTCGTTTCTCCCAAAACTTGACTACCAAACTCTACCTCAGTGACATCCACAGAAATCTGTGGCAATAAGAATGAAAAGCAAAAATGTCAAGAAACTTCAGTTTAAATTTTTGAACTGAAATGGAAAGAGTTTGCAACATTTTATTCAAATGATGTCTGTACAGAGAGTCAAATAGAATGATGAAAGAACGGCAAGCCCCAACGCTTCCTCAATTGAAGGTGTTCTTCTTATAGAGGCACCCCTTTTGAAAAATATAAATACAACACCCACGAAGGGCTTTTTAAGACCCCCAGCCCTCTCCAGCTTCATAAATTTCTTTTAACGGTTTACGCTCGTTTCGCCAGCGAGTCGTTTCACCAACGTCCTCTTCGCCAACTTGCGAAGTCGTTTCGCATACGTGTTGGGTCAGTTCCCTAACTCGGCTTTCGCCTGATCGGTGGCTGAAAGAACGAGGTATATACACGCATATCGCACTTTTTTGTATCATGCCTGAGAGAACATGCGCAGCGCTCGTTTCGCTTCTTAGCGGAACCACATAAGACGTTAGCAAAACGACTCGTAGGCGAAACGACCGGTCACCCTTTTAACAGTTCGATCTGGGAGAACCCTTCCTTGCACAAGATTTTCAATCCCTTCAGGATGGAGATTTTCTGGAATTACACATCAAGAAGTTGTCTGTTTTTCTCCCTAAGATATATTTTTTACGTATAGCCATAATCATAAGAGTAAAAAACACCAATAAAAAAGGGGGTCTCCTTTCTCGTTTCATCGCAAAAAGAAATCAAGGGGACAATTTCAAACGATCATTTTGAATGAAGGGACTGGGTTGAGATTCAAGACAAGCATCTTTTCAGCAGGGAAGAGATATCAAAATCGCTATGATAAGCATTTTGACTACAAAAGGGGCCTTTAATACCTCTCCCTAGGCAACCAGTGACAATCACCGCCATCTTTGAAATTGCAATGTTTTTCACAGTGGTTGATGCGCAGCGCAAAACAAGGGAATAACCTTAAGATGTAGCGCGACAATATCACAACTGAGTGGTTAAAGGATGATGATTATGGCAACTAAATACCTGGCATTTCTTTGTTACACATCTAATGGGAACTGAAAATGGTCCTGTTTGTGCGAGGAAGTCAATGTGACCTTCCAAATCTTCATTCAACTGCAATCAAAGTGAACATTTAAAAGAAAAAAGAAATAACAATATAAACGATTTTTTGAGATACAAGCTGGATCATCCCACGAGGGGGTACAGTAGGCTGTTATCTTTTCTGATAAACTGTGCATGAAATTTAGGGAGCAAAGGTTTGGATGAGAATGCATCAAAGGAAAGAGTCAATAACCAGGGTTACCATGAAGATGACAAGTGCAGGAACAAAAAATAGGATACATTAATAGGAAACTGGAATATGCTGGCAAGCAATATGATATGCCATACACAAGAAATGACCTCGCCCCAGTTGTTCAAAAGCTGGATAGCGCTATCCACCGTATAAATCACGATTCACTGGATAGCGCATTTGGTTTCCCTAATACTTATCCATTGGATAATGATTTATCCAGTGGATGGCGCTATTCAACTTTTAAACAACTGGGGCCTGTAGTTTAAAAAGAGTGTAAAATTTTATCATTTTGTTTTCAAAAAATCATCTCACCATGGGCTTAAAAGTGACCGCAAAATCACAAGTCAGTCCAGCAGACATGACACCAGGGGGGTCAAAACTGAGTGAAAAAAAAATGGAAGAAAAAGAAAAAAATTGAGTTAACCAACAACAACACTTCTTAGACTACTGCTGTGCTTAACATAATCAAGTGGAAGACACTGCTCTTAGAGATTTAGTACTGAAAAGACTGCTGTTAAGTATGCAGAAGGATGTTGCCTGCTCACAGCCACATGCTATCCAATTGTCAAAAAAAAGAAAAACATCTGTGGATAGGCTAGTAAGGATGGCACATTGGAGAAAAATAGTCCCAAAAGGCATTTCAATTCATGTCTTGAACTTTCTAGCCAACTGAACAATTGACACTAGTAGGATGCCTAAATCATTTCATAATGTCGTTATAAAGTATGCTTTGCGTGCTTCTAAGGTCATCTTGTCTTTCAGAAGGTTGTAGTTTCTACATTGATTTGTTTGCCCACGCAACTCTCATTAAAGGCTGGTACACACCAACAATTCAGAATGCAAATGTAAATGCCAGAAAATGCATGTGAACTAACTCACTGCTTTCCCTTCCACTGCATTTGTAAACCAGAAAGTATTTAGCCTGAAAAAACAGCCAACATTTCACAACGCCACCAATGGTTTCCCCACAAAATGACTACTGAGAAAAAAGCACAGAAATTCCATACTGACGATGCCACACTACTCAGATCTAGGTGGTGCTTCCGACTGGTTGAAGCAAATTTCCCATGCAGCATGACTTATCAGAAGCATTACCCAGATCTGGGTAGTGATGAGTCATAAGTAAGGAATTACTTCGCTCATTTCTAACCCATCATTTTGAAGGGAAACCAGTGGTGGTGTTACGAAATGTCGGCTTTTTTCTCAGGCTAGCACATATTGTAAAAATGCAAAAAGTCGCATTTGTTTCATAACAGAGCTTAAAATTTACCATCAGTCCTAGCCTTTTGTTACTTACAACACTTCAATGAAATCTTTCAGTAAGTGGGACATTCCGACATATTTACAGTAATTCTGAGTATAAGAGATGTTTGTCAGCAGAATTTTCTTCTTGTATGATTTCCCAACATCAAAGTCCTGGCACAGAAAAACAAAAAGATGAAGCCATGAGTGTGTCGCTAAAATTTTCAAGAGAATGAAAGTAAAGATGAACAGGCATAGAATTAATGGTTAACAAACCTTGAATACAATAACTTCAGGTTTGCTGTAAAATGCACAACCCTACAAGCCAAAAAAAAAACAAGGATTAACAATGCAAAGAAAATACGGAATAATAAATTTTACATGCAATATTGCTGTAAAGTTAGGACTACAAGAAAACAAATTAACACCAGCAATCCAAAAAAGAAAAAAAAAAGTTCTTTTATTTAACCACTCACCTTAAATTCTCTTCCTGCGGCAACCTGTTTTTGTACTATTCCAGCTCTTTGCTTCATGAGAGCTCTTTCCATCATTTCCTATGAAACAAAGAACTGCTCATGATCTTGTGCTTGTGATCTCCCCTCCTCCCCTTACCAAAATTGCTCATAATACAAGACCATGCTCAAAACTCAAAGGAACAACTTTCAGTGAAGGAGGGTGAGTGAGGGGATGAGTGCAATGTGTCACAGATACGAAAATAGCAGCAGTTTTAACTATAAAGGCTGTTTTTTTATGTGTTTTAATATTCAGTCAACTGGTTGAAGCTGGATCAAGCTGAATACTTGTCTACATGTTTCAGTTAATTTAAATGCCAAATGCTTTAACGCTCCATGCAAGTTCACGGTTTCATTCTACAGTACACCAAAGTTAAAAACTAACCAATCCAGCAATCCTAGATGACTTTATCAATAATTTTTTAAACTGAATTTACCTGTTCCATTTTACTGGGCATATGACTTGTAAATTTGAACCTCTGTTCTTTTTTATCAGATCCCTAAATACAACAGATCAAAATAAGGTTAAATCTATTGCTACAATGCAGACAAACTGTCCACACAGACACCTCAGACAGTAAACATAAACCACCACCCCTCGCTACCTCCTAGGAAAACAACAAGCACATGTATTGTGTTTCTCCTCTTCTATCCCTCTATCCAGGGCTAAACATTCTCACCTACTCATACAGTGTTCAAATTTTCATCCTGCTAACAGTTCCCTTTCATACCATGGCAGTTGCACATGTGTGTGTGTGTGCGTTCTGCCCGGAGGCAGGTCCTTCCTTATAGTTCTCGATCTAAGGCACGCCTCTTGACTGCTATGTAAGGGCTGTCGTCCTTTACTCTATCCAGCATTCTTGCTCAAGGTCTTCCAGGTGGTCTCTTTCCTATTATTCTTCCCTCAATAACTACCGGGACAAGATCACAATGTCGAAGGGTATGACCAAGCCAGCAGACTTTTTGTCTTCTGTTGATAACAGATATTATGGCTCTCTCCTCACCAACGTGCCTCAATAATTACGTGTCTGTAATCCTTACAGACTTTGTCAGACCAAGTGATGTTTAAGACCTTTCTCCGAAGCCACATATCTTACAGCTCTCAAGCCTCTCCAGCATACAAATGGAAAAAAAGACTTCATAATTGTTGCAAGATCTACAAACTAACCTTTTGAACACCTTCCTCCCACAGTCCTCTAAACTCTGGTTGAGCCAATTCGTCTCCTTCCACATCTGAGTCACTAAAAACAAAGAGATATCAAGTGAGTAGAAAATACAAATCAGCCGATATTCAGCCCAAATGCAAATGACACTGGTTACCAGCATAATTCAACTTTTATTTCATTTTTTTGTTTTGTTAATTGTTATTGTCTACATCTTTTCATAATGGTTTTTTTATTTCATAATGGTTTTTTATTATCTTATTTTTGTTTGTTTGTCTATCCATGCATTTGTTGCTTCATTTATAATTTATTGAAATCCTATTTAAGGGCATATCTTCATGTACCTTCCTTGAAGAACCTCTGCTACAGTAGGTACTTACAGGTAGTGTAAATTTATAATGTTTTTAAATTGTGTTTGTAATTTTCTACTAGTACAAGCTGTATTAACATTATGGTGAATAATGATGCACAATGGAGCCTGTATTAACTAGACAACACATGAGGCAGATCCTGTAAATTACAGTTTTTTAGTGACATAGGTTTGAGTGAGCCCAAAACTTTTCGTCCCATTTCTTTATATAAAATTCACTTGTCTAAGTGGAATCCTTCATTAGGCAGACATGGGTTGGGGCTGGTTTATGATCAAGTCACCCGAAAGCCATCTCGCCTGTTATGTCACCCGGAACCACACATAACCCAGCATTTTTAGTACCTAAACTAGAACTTTCAGGCGACATAACTCTGGTTTCGGGGGCCACAACTTCAGGCGAGACAACTTTAGGGTGACTTGACTGGCTACCACAGGGGCCACATAGCTGAATAAAAGTAAATAAAATTAAGTAAATAAATAAAAGTATTCAATACCCTTCCTTAGCCTCATCTCGGCTTGTCTCCCCATATGGTGAAAAATCATCTTCATCATCTTCTGAAGATACCGCACCAAGTTTTCCTGATGTGTGTTGACCCTAGAATCATCAAGCATCCTTTTAGCAATAAAAAGGCTATAAACAGATCTTTTCAAAACAGCTGAATTGACTTGTAAGTTTTTAAAGTGCATAGGCATATTCTCATTTAACTAACAGTACAAATTACCCCTTTAAGATAATAAAAGTATGAGAAAAATGGTGGTAATTGAATGCACCTGCAAAACATTTAAAAAAGATCCCTTATAGCAAAACCATGACATGTTAAAAACTTATTCATTATCATCATTGTGACCCCCAGTTTTGCAGTCTGCAAATCAGTTTGCAATGTGAGAATAATAAGAAAGTGATAAAAGTTTTAAATTTCTAAAAAGAGGTATTTTCTATCTGGTAGGTTTCTTCCTTTGTTTTCAGTTATTGATTTGTGAAAAAGAAAATATGGGTTACTCTTAAACTATGATTTGAATGTTATTAACATGAAGATATGATCATCGCAGCTGCAATAATAATCTAAGCAATTGCAAATTAACCCCCAA